CTATTATGTTAATATGTAGTAAAACAACTATATTGTGGTGGAACTACAGGCTTATAGAGGTGCGCAGGTTTGGTGGGGTGCGGCGCTCGCTTGCCTGCGGCGCTCGCTTGCCACATACGTTAGTCAGTATACGTGCCGATAGCACAATAGTCGATACATCACATAGCCTCGCCCGAAACGATAAGCACTTGGCACGCATGACCAAAGCGACAAAAACTACGTCTGTAGCATGAGATATGCTGCAGTAACAGGCCCTTGGACAAAAAAAAACAAGCGGATTTTCAACGCGGTAGGAAGACATGGGTTTGTTTTCAGCATGAGTATACGACAAGCAAAAACACCGAGACAAGCGGAGAAGAAGAGACTGAAGAAGAAGAAGAAGAAGAAGAAGAAGAAGAAGAAGAAGAAGAAGAAAATATGTCCAAGTACTCAGGACCCTTCCCGTTTCACAACCACAACCGTAACCGTAGAAAGAAAGAGAGAGAGAGAGAAAAAAAACCACACACATACACAGGATACCTTTTCAAAAGAGGTATAAAGCATGCGCAACAGAAGCCCCCAAATCCAAATTCTTCACTGCACTGCACAACAACAGCAACAACAACAACAGCAACGAGCATTGCACTCCTACACTCCTTAGCAAACCTTTTCACTCATTTATCCAACTTTCCCTTGTCGTTTTCCCCACTCTCATTTCCACACACTCATTTCTCACTTTCATTCATTCCCTACAAACTTTCCTGATCTATCCACTCCTTATCCAATCCACTCTTTCCACTCTGTCCAACAAAACCCAACCCAACCCCAAACGCAAAATGTACTTCCCCAACACCATCACCACCACCCTCCTCGCCCTCCTCAGCACAACCGCAACCGCCCTCCCGCAAACCGTCAGCACAAACCCACCCGGCAGCAGCGGCGGCAACACAATCGGCGAATGGACATTTACCGTGCAGCAACACAAGGACATGGCCAACAACTGCACCGTGGAGAACGCGACGGCGATTTACTACGGCGAAATGGCGCCGTACGGGCTCACGAGCACGTGCTGGCATGTGATTCCCATGGCGGGCAATGGCGTGTCGCGGGGGACGCACAACTGCACGAATCGGTTTAGCTATCAGATTGGCGGCGTGCATGCGAGGCCTGGTCAGAGTGAGTTTTTCTTTTCATTTCTTTATTTCTTTCTTTCTTTCTTTCTTTCTTTCTTTCTTGGGTTTGTTTGGTGTGGAATGAGGAGTCGGAAACTAATGAATGGCAGACCTCATGCTTCAGCAGCAATTCGATCATTACAACAAGTATGGGGGTATCACGTACAAGGGCTGGTCCAACATGACGCTGTACACGACCGACTATTCGGGTCATCGGTACGAGGCGTCGCTCAAGGTGCCTATTTTGCGATAGATAGGTCGCTATGCATGGATCATGGCAGTTAGTACAGCAGCAATCAGGTCTAAGAGGAAGCACGAGAACTAGCACAATGAATCATGTTTGATTGGAATATGTCTACGTGCCTGCTGTGAAATCGTTCCGTCGTGACACTCCGTGATCTGACGCCTTCGCCACTGATGAGATGGTTGCATGGTATGATAACGCCCGTGAGACCCTTACCCTACTGCAAAGGCCAGACAGTCTACAAACCTCGACCGTTCTAGCTTTGAGCCTTGAACGCATGCCAGGCTGGGAAGACGCTGGTCATGGCGCTGACTAGAAGAAATATAAGCCCGTTTAGCCACAAAATGATAATAAAAGATGAAAAGCCTCAGGAGTTAGGCCTCGCCAAACAGACGCGCCGTGATATCGCCCATGTAAGCCTCTTCCAGTTCATAATCCTCGCCGCCCATGCGGTCGATGCCCACGTACTCGAATGCGTCGACAACCGCCTCGACATCGAAGCCCATTGCGACAAAGCGGTCGACCAGGTCCTTGTTGTAGCCCTTGTATGCGGCGAGCTTCGACTTTTCTTCGTTCTGCTTGGCCTGCTGGGCCTTCTTCTTGATCGACGCGGCCGTGGCACCACCGCTGCCTTCGGCGATTTCCTTTTGCGGTGCACCGGCGTACTTGACCGCCCATTCGCGCGCCTTGTGCTCAAACTCGGCGGGGTTCCGGATCAGCATGCCGGCGACTTCTGCGTCCTGGGGATCCTTGGGCTCGGGTGTGCTGAGGAGAGACTGGAGCGAGATGAGGGCCGACTTGATGGTCAGGACTGGCGACCACTGCGAGGAGAGCGTGTCTAGACAAATGGCGCCCTGTTTTTGTGAGCGTGCAGTACCACCCGGCATGGTTTCGGGGCCACTTACCGTCTGCGAGCTGACGTTGGGGTGCCAGATCTTAGTCTCAAACTTCATGACGGGTGGGCGGAAAGGATACTCGTTGGGGATCTTAATGTCAACGAAAAAGGTGCCGCCCTCGTATGGCGTGTCGGGCGGCCCCAGGAACTGGCCGCGCAAATGTGTGAGGTCCTCGCCGTTCCCTGACGGCTCCACGACAATCTTGGAGTGCTGGTCGTTGTGGATGTCGGCAATCTCCTTGGCTATGCGCCTGGTGCGGTTCGAGGCCATGGTGCGAGGTTGGCGACTGGGCGGGGGTGCAGCACGAGAGGGAGAGGCACGAGGAGAGAGGAGCAGGCAGCAGGTGGTGCGATGGCGGTATTTCTAGGCGTGCAAGTCAGCCTCAGGCAGGCACAGCCGTGCAGGCAGCTCCGCACAGGGCAGGATGCGGGGAATGTGCCGTTCACGTGGTGGAGATGTCTGCGACACTGTCTTGTTCTGGCGGCAGGCAACGCGAGGGAGAGGGGGCGCCCAACCTACACGAGCTGCGGGCGCGCGAGAGAGTGCGACTGCGGTGGCCAAAGAGGTGCCAAAGGACCCGCGTGGGGGAGCTCCGCCTACCTGAGCGGCGGGGTGCAGGCGTCGTGGGCGGGAACGGGTGTGGGGTTGCGGCGAGAATACGGGGAGAGAGAGGCCGTGAATAAGCCTGGGGCTGGGCTGGCGTGCGTGCAGAGTATATGTGTCGATGTCTCCGGCCTGACGTGTCGGGTGCTGTATGGAAGTGGAAGTGGAATGGAATGGCCGAGTGAGGCTCGCGGCGGTCGAGAGCAGTGGCAGTGACGCCACAGCCGACTAAGCCCGAAGTTCCGACATGCTCGAGCTTGGGAATCAGCCATCGACACCTCGTGCATACTTACAGACAACCACCGCCTCGCCCCCCCAACCCCCAGCCCTCAACCCCCATCGCTCTCACCACGCCGCCATCGGCTGTATCCCCTCGCTTCATCCGTCCATCTGTGCAGACGCCGCCGCCGTCGTTGCGTGCCTGAACGAGCGCCATGGTAACGTCGCCGCCCGCGCCAGACAACAGGCATCAGATATGCTAACGCCGCGCAGGGTAACCAGCAGTCGAGTGCAGGAGGCGGGCCGCCCGACGACAAGAGCAAGAAGGACAAGGTGCGTGTGCTGTTTGGCTGGACACGCTTCGCCGCACCGCCGCCACTGACACAGCGCGCGTAGAAGGACAAGCCAAAGTACGAGCCCCCGCCACAACCCACGACCCGCATCGGCAGGAAGAAGAAGAAGGCGGCTGGCCCCAGCGCCGCCGCGAAGCTCCCGATCGTCTATCCCACTGCGCGATGCAAGCTACGCTATCTCCGAATGCAGCGCATCCACGACCACCTGTTGCTGGAGGAGGAGTACGTCGAGAACCAGGAACGCCTCCGCAAGGCCAAGGCGGTCAAGGAGGGAAACGCGCCCGCCGCCGCCAATGCTGGCGAGGGCGCCGAAGACCGCAATGCCGATGAACGCTCGCGCGTCGACGACATGCGCGGCAGCCCCATGGGCGTCGGCAACCTCGAGGAGCTCATTGACGACGACCACGCCATTGTCTCGAGCGCCACCGGCCCTGAATACTACGTCTCTATTATGTCTTTTGTCGACAAGGACCTGCTCGAGCCGGGCGCCAGCATTCTCCTGCACCACAAATCCGTCTCGGTGGTCGGCGTGCTCACCGACGACGCCGATCCCTCCGTGTCGGTCATGAAGCTCGACAAGGCACCCACCGAGTCTTATGCGGACATTGGAGGTCTCGAGTCACAGATCCAGGAAGTGCGAGAGGCGGTCGAGCTGCCACTTCTGCATCCTGAGTTGTACGAGGAGATGGGAATCAAGCCGCCAAAGGGTGTCATCCTGTACGGTGCGCCCGGTACCGGAAAGACACTGCTGGCCAAGGCGGTAGCAAACCAGACGAGCGCGACTTTCCTGCGTATTGTCGGCAGTGAGCTTATCCAGAAATACCTAGGAGACGGCCCAAGGCTCGTTCGACAGTTGTTCCAGACCGCTGCCGAAAACGCCCCTTCGATTGTCTTCATCGACGAGATTGACGCCATTGGCACCAAGCGATACGAGTCGACATCGGGAGGCGAGCGTGAGATTCAGAGAACCATGTTGGAGCTCCTGAACCAGCTGGACGGTTTCGATGACCGTGGTGACGTCAAAGTCATCATGGCCACCAACAAGATTGAGACGCTGGATCCTGCCCTCATTCGTCCTGGTCGTATTGACCGAAAGATTCTCTTCGAGAACCCTGACCGTAAGTGACTATTCATCTACATCTAAATCATGCAATACTAACATTACCAGAAACCACCAAGAAGAAGATCTTCACCCTCCACACGTCCAAGATGTCACTTAACGAGGATGTCGATCTGGATGAGTTCATTAACCAAAAGGACGACCTCTCTGGTGCTGACGTGAAGGCTATTTGTTCCGAAGCTGGTCTCATGGCCCTCCGTGAGCGCCGTATGCGCGTCAACATGGACGATTTCAGGACTGCTAGGGAGCGTGTGCTCAAGACGAAGACGGAGGGAGAGCCCGAGGGCTTGTACTTGTAAGCTTATGACAGACATCCGTAATGCCAGATTGAGCTACCGGCAATACGCTGCTTTCAGTGCAGCTTGGTCATTATAGACTCTTGATCCATCACGTCTGACTGTTTGGTAATATTGCATGAGTTGATGTGTGATGCATGTCCCTTTCTTATGTAAGACGCTCGACTGCTTGCCGACGACGCCTCCTCACCACGACAGTCACGGGCTAATTGGGTTTTAATACTGGTCAACAAGATGAGCAAAATTCTAGTGCGTTCAACACGTTGCCTACAGGCTCGAATACAAGCATCCCGTTGTCGAGGTCAGAAGATTCAGCCGCCGGTAAAGTCACACCGCTACCAGTCTCTAGAGAGCGCTGCGAGAAGCTCAGAAGTGAGAGACGGGCGCTAGACCGCTACCTCTAGATATATATCTACCTACAGGCCCAGTCAGTCCTCTTGTCTGCTCCGCACGCCTTTTCGTAATACACCTCAGTGTCAATCACGACCTCTTCATCAATAACCATGAACATTGCAGCCCCAACCTTCAACTCGCTTAATAAGCCCCAGAAGCGCGCGCTCATCCTGCGAGATCAGCTGCGCTTTGTTGACCCGCTACACCTGGATGAATTCCTAGACGGAGTCAGCAATCACGAACCACCAGCCTACACCAGGGTCAACGGTGTCATCAAGCCAGACCTCACTTTTGTCACGCTCAAGGAAGAAGCCACTCGCTTTGATCTTGGCAATGTCTTGCTCGCAGAGGAAAACAACGCCATCTACCGCGTGTACCTGGTAGTTGAGAACGGGCAGATACAGATGCAGGCTGAAGACCCGCTTCCACGCGATGACGAGGTTCTGGACTCGATACCTATCCACGGTTTCATTGCAAGGAGCACAGTGCCGCTGTTCAGAGAAAAGTTCCAGGCTATCCATGCCCGCATGACCAAGATCAACGAGGCAAGACGCGCGGCTTACAACATGCCAGCCCAGGAGCCGACGTTGGTCTGCGAAGGAGAAGTATGTTTCCTGGAAAACAGCTGTCGACACTTTGCTGACTTGCACTAGACAATCGCCAGGCTGGATCCATCCAGGGCTGAACAGGGCCGCCCATCTCTGCAGCGTAAGTAAGTACGCCACTCTCCTCACCACCCAGCGCCTAACAAATCACAGCCAACAAAGCCCGCAAGCGCGCTCCAAACGAAAAAATCCTCCCACACATCTCCAACAAGCGCAAGCGCACCAGCCTCGACATCATCCCAGCCTCGACCAAAAGCCGGACCTTGGATACGCTCCCCAACCACGTGAAAATCGACCTCTTCAACAGCATCGTGCAGACAGCGTTTCCCAACTTCGAGGACCTCATGACAGCGTGCTGGAACGTCATTTCCATTTACACGGCGTGCGGCACGGATTTCCCGGAGCTGCATCGCGCCATTGTCGAGTTGAAGGGCGTATTGCTGGATTTTGAGCATGCGTTTGGACACAGTGGTGGCGAGCGCGAGACACCGCGGTATCGACGCGATTTCGAGGCTGCGGAGCGGGTGTATAAGGGGAAAGAGCGGGATGCGGAGTGTGAGCGGGAGGGGAAACCCAGTGCACGGGGAGTAGCGGGGGATGACCAAGTGCATGTAAAGATGGATCCAGAACAAGGGAATGCGTCTGGTGCAAACGAGGCTCACGTTGACGCTCCAGCTGAAAACGAGAAGCAAACTGGAAATGGGCATGACGCGCACCATGTGTCTTGTTCGGCGGGTGCAGATGCCAGGAGCGAAAAGAGCCAAATCCAGCATTCTGCCGAGCATCCGCTTTCTGATGTACAGAAACAAAGCATGGGCGCATATCAGGCTCCGCCACACCACGTGCGAGAACAACACTCTACCAGCAATCGTGGTACTCATGTCTCACGCACTCTATTCCACGCCACCGCTACCATGTCGCCACCACCGAGGCCAGCATCAGCATCAACATCAGCACCAGCACCAGCAAGAGGAGGAGGAGGAGGAGGAGGAGTAGGAGGAACAGCAGGAACAGCAAGAACAGGAAGCGTAATACCACCCCCCAAACCCCGACCCACAGACCACACACCCATATTCCACGACGCATACATCGACTCGCTCATGTCGAGTGTGCCGCCGACGCGTACGCCGCGAGCGAGAATCAAGAAGATGAGGAGTACTACTCCTAATCTTACTAATCCCATTCCTAGTACTAATCCTACCCACGCTTCTTCCGGTAGTGGTGCTGCTGCTGCTGCTGCTTCTTCTTCTTCTTCTTCTTCTTCTTCTTCTTTTTCTTTTCCCGCCATTTCTGGAAACGACCATGGGAAACAGTCTGGAAAAGAGTCTGTTAGTACCAATGGACACGAGCCTGCAAACGAGGCTAGCAGTGGGAGTGGAAGTGGAAGTGGAAATGGAAATGGAAATAGCGTCTTTGGTGTGTGCCTCGGTAACTCTGTGCTCGGGGCTAAGAAAGCTAGGGCGACGCCGGTGCCGGATATGGTTTCTAGGTGTGATAAGGTCGAGTAAGGAGGGGGCTTGGTGGCTGGGTATCTGGGTATCTGGGTAGCTGGGTAGCTAGCTAGCTTGGCATGGATGGATGGATGGATGGTACGGGTACTGCGCACTGAACACTGAGCACTGGTACATGGTAGTGCTGGTAGTAGTAGTTCAGACAAGTGTAGAAGTCAGGAAGTAATCCAGCCCACATTCAATCCATGCCCTAGCGAGACGTACATATCAACATATGTAAGTATGAGAAAGAAACCAATCATCATTGAAAATACAGCGGATATCCTATTCGACACCGAAAAAAAGGGGGGGGGGGCAACGATATTTCCTCTCCTTCTTCACATCATTTTTCTCCCCTTTTGAATCTCAATCAGGGAATTTGCATTTCCAATCTCAAGACGAATATATATATATATATATATGTAGAGTTATAGATTTTGCACTTGATGAAGCAAAAAAAAACATGATTAAATGTCTTGAAATATATATATATATATATTGCCGTGCCCATCCAACTCCAGATTTGCTCTGTACTCTGTAAAATCAAACGAGCTTTCTTCGTTTCATGGTATCATTACAAACAAACAAAACAAAACCCCCCAAAAAAACGAAGACTGCCCTCCTCGTGTTTTGGTTTTTTGAATAGACCGGAAAAACGCCATGCCCCGATTTTCACAAACGCCCCTATCCCCTATCATGCACATTCCCAGTCACACTTGGATCGAATTCAGAATTACTCCTTCTTCTCCGACGCAGATCTTGCCAGTTCAGGACCCCAGAAAGCATCGGCTTCTTTTTCGTAGCCCTCGCGCGCCAGTTTCCGTCGCTTGGCCTTGCTTTCTTCGAGGGCGTCGCCCTGGACTGCATCTCGCTTCTGGGCCTGGTTGAGTTTGACCAGGTCGACTTTGTCGGGGTCACGGCAGTTTTTGAGTTTCTGGACGAGGGCTTTGACTTGGGCTTTGTGCTTTGCTTCGCGGGCGTCGCGCTCGGCGGCGGGCAGCGTGGCGTTGACGTAGAGGCGGTGCGAGGAGATGAGCGAGGCACATGCGCGCAGGGTGGCGAGGAGCTTTTCGTGGTGGGGGTGAGAAGGGGGGAGTTTGGTGGAGAGGTAGAAGAGGGTGAGGGGCTCGTCGGCGAGGAGGTGGGCAGACAGCCAGATTTGCGAGGGCGTGTAGAGAAAGTAGGCGTCTGTCAGGACGGCAATGGTGCGCAGCGTGTTTGTAGTAGTGCCGTATGCGGCGTGGATTCTCTCTTCGACTTTCTTCTCGGGCATCTTGATGGCCGTGGCTCCGGGTTTGAGGGGCAGCGAGAGAATCTTGGTCTGGATATCTTTGGGGGTCATGCCCTGGGCGGGACCCTGGTACTTGGCGTGGACCATTTCCAGCAGCTCCATGTGTCCGGCTTTGAGGGCGCGAAAGGGATGGCGCACGTCGAGGTTGTAGCGCAGGCCTTGCATGATGATGTACTCGGGGGCCAGGACGTCTTCGGTGGTGACATTGCGGCCGGCGCCCTCGGCATACTGCGAGACGTGGATGTTGAAGAGCTCAATCTTGGTGGCCATGAACATGATGGTGCGCAGGATGGTGTTGACGTGGTACGTCATGGGCGAGTTGTAGAGGTAGAAGCGGCGCATGAACTGGATGCATGTGGCCTGTCGGTGTTAACACGAGGGTCCAGCATGGTGGCTGCGACGACATACCACCACGTTCAATGGGAAGCTGTAGTGGTTTCCGAGGGCGATGGCGCGCTCGCAGAACTCGTCGACAATCTTGAGCTCTTCGTCGGCAGTCAGGCAGTTCACCTCGGCGGCGTCATTGTCCAGGGCATCGTGGGCGCGCTGGGCCCGCACGCGCGCGAGGTTCGCCTTGACGCGCTCCGTGGCCTGGAGGTTGATGCGCAGGCGCTGGTCGGCGAGCTGGGCGCGGGTAAAGGACCAGTTCCGGTATTGGGTCGAGCTGCGGTAGAGGTCGTCTTCGGTGAGCTTCATGGTTGAGTGACTGATTGGTGGCGAAGGCAGAAGCTGGGCTGGTGGTGACAAGGCAACGTGCGCGCGCAGGGCAACTTTTGCCGAGCTGCCTTCCTCAGCAGCTTCACCACCATGACTCCGTCACCACCCCTTCAGCGACAAGCTCTTCAAGCTTTCAAACCGCCCTTCACCGCGCCTTGGTTGGAACCGCCGCCGTGGTCTGCACTCGAGACTAGCAAGGACACAGAGCATGCAGCCCGTCACGCGCAGAGCCAATCGCCCCGGCAGCCCAGGCGCTGCTTGTCCAGAACAAGCGCAATTGTGCTCAAATGCAGGCCCAAATGCGCTCACGCGGTGGTCGTACAAAGAGAAGCGCTGCTCTCGCTTCTTTCGAACACGCCGTTTCTCCGCCGCCTCTTGAGCAATTGCCGTCCATCCTTCTTCAACAATCGCAGCCCGTCCTTCAGCAATTGCAGCCCATCCTTGCGCCAAGCCTCGCTCTCGACGCCTACGATAAGATTTTGGCCTGCCCGCTGCGAGTCCATCCGTGTCAGCATCGCCGTCCGCCACAACGAGCCTCTACAGGAAGGTGTCAGCAACGCGCCGCTGCGGCTAAAGGCTCCAGCCGGCTTACCATGGCCCGTGACCTTATTGACCTTGGGGAGGCGTGGGCATGAGCATGAGCGGCAGCCGTTAGGGCTCCAGCGCTTCTTTGGTTGCGATGCGGAGACGATGCCGCCATGCTTGGCAGCAAGAGCAGCTGCCTATTTGGGCCACGCTATCATCCCCTACCCACACGCCTGCTAATGAGGTCCGCCCTGTACTCATCGCGCGTACGCCATCACCAATGGGCCCCGCCACCTGGTCGACCAGCCTGCCCTGTCCGCCCATGGCCGGATGCAGGGCGGAATGCCTGCCAAGCAGAGCTCATCTGGGCGTACATGGCCACTAAGCTACGAAGCGTACTCCCAAGACGGCCCCAAGACTTGCCCAAGACTTGCTAGCACCTACCGTCGCCTCTGCACGCTTCTGACGTGCTTGTGCTAAATTTCGGAGTATCTGCGATAGGAAGGTCTTTCTGTGTATCGGCCATGGCCTGTCCCGGCATCTCGTACAGCAGTCAGTCGGTGCATCCGACGTGGTGGTGGTGGTGGTGGTGCAGAGAGGGGAAGCCTATATAACATGCATGGCCTTGCTCTCCTTGCCAAAGCACCACAGCTGCCCAGAGCCAACTCGCAGTCTTGTTCGCAATCATGAAGTGGGCTACCATCAGCACGGCTTTGCTGCCCCTGGCCGCCGCCAGCGGCTTCACCCGCCAGCAGTATGCCTCCGGAGAGGTCATGGAACTCATGATGTCCGGCAAGGAGGTATGTCCGGGCCCCGGATGTTTCCAACACGAGATATTAACCATCCCAGGCTGCATGGGCCAAGGAGCGTGCCGCCGGCAACTTTGACAACACCAGGTGGAACGGCTTCGAAAGCAAGCGCCCCACCAAGGGCAAGATTGAGTGCAAGGACGGTCGCGTCGAGGCTGTCAAGGGTGACGCCGACCAGACGTACAAGTGCAAGAACGTCGACTTGTACGACTTCAAGACGCACGCCGAGCTCGGTGACGCTGTTGGCGAGGGCAGTGGTTCCTGGGGTTGGTCGCACCGTGGCCGTGACTTTATTGCCATTGGCCAGACGTACGGTGCTTCCTTTTCCGAGGTCACCAAGGAGGGCAAGCTCGAGTACCTTGGCCGTCTTCCCGCCCAGAACGACTCGGTCATCTGGCGCGAGATCAAGGTCTTGGGCGACTCACTCATTGTCGGCTCCGAGGGTGTCGGCCACCACGTCCAAATCTTCGACTTGAAGAAGCTCCTAAAGCTTACCCACAAGAAGCCCTACACCTTTGACATTGTCAAGGACGTTGCTCTGGTCGACATCAACCAGGGTATCAAGGGCCGCACCCACACGGTTGTTGCCAACCAGGAGAAGAACTATGCCGTCGCCTGCGGTGCTGGCGGCCGTCCTGGTCGTAACGACACCTGTGCTGGTGGCCCCATGTTCATCAACATGGACGACCCCACCAAGCCCTACGTTGAGGGATGCAATGGCCAGGACGGCTACACCCACGACGCCCAGTGCATTGTCTACCGTGGTCCTCACAAGAAGTACTACGGCCGTGACATTTGCTACGGCTACAACGAGGACACTCTGACCATTTACGACGTTACGAACAAGAAGGGCATGGGCAATGCCGGTGCCATCATCTCGCGCACTCCCTACGTCGGTGCTTCCTACACCCACCAGGGTTGGGTTCTCGACCCCTTCTGGCAAACCCACATTGTCATGGACGACGAGCTCGACGAGGGCCAGATCGACCCCAACCGCACTGCCGTCGACTCACCTGCCAAGGATGGTTTCGCCGTCACCTACATTGTTGACATCCAGAACCTCGAGAAGCCTTTTGTCAGCGGCCACTACAAGACCACTACCCGCTCCGTCGATCACAACCAGTACGTCTACGACGGTCTTTCCTACCAGTCCAACTACCAGGCTGGTCTCCGCATCCTCGACGTCTCCTCCATTCCCCGTTACCCCGACGGCTCCAAGGTCAAGGAGATTGGCTACTTTGACGTCTACCCTCCGGATGATGTCAAGCCCGGTGGTGGTGATGCTCTCTGGAACGGTGGTACCTGGTCTGCCTACACCTTTGACTCTGGCTTTGTCGTCGTCAACACCATTGACCGTGGTGTCTTTGTCGTCAAGCAGGCTGATGTCAAGGGTCCTAAGAAGGGCAAGGGTCAGTACTGGAAGTAGTAGATATGTAATGATAAGCCCACGCAATGCGTAATGGTAATGAAGAATACTATTCTGAATTCATGATGATTGCTTGTGGATTCAGTGATGTTCGATTTCTAATGCGTGAAATCCAATGATGCAGGACGTGTGGAGAGTAAATTATTATTATTTTCTATTTTATCCCGAATACAACTTGGGTATCACGAGTTACCAATAATACATGGACTAAGCTTCTATCACCCCGTCGAATTCACAAACAGTAGATGAAGAGTACATGAAGTTATTCTACAAAGGTCTTATACTTACCACACATCCACAAAAACAATGTACACATCTAGCAACAAAAAAAAACCGGACGTGGCTTAACTCCGCAATTCCTAAAATAGACAAAAACAAAGCATAGCATGTGAAAAAAACCGCTTCCATTCCTTTACATCATACATAGAACTGGATAAAGCAAGGTCCAAGCACACTTCTCCTAGTTGTCCAACTGCTCCACCGCCTCATCACTAATCCAAACATACTGCCTTGCAACCTGTCTCTCACTACTCTCCCTCGCCCGCAAACCCAAGCTAGAAAACCTGTGTCCAGCCTGCCATCTTGATGAATGGATGCTAGATCAAAACAGTGTGCCACGGGTCCTTGAATAACATCGTGGGGCGTGATAAATGGAGGATAGTAGGGTGGTATGATACCAAGTCTTTGTTTGTATACATATTAGTAGAAGACTGATTTTATATACGCATTTGCATCTCTACCTTCATCTCCATCTCCATCCTTAACACTGTCTTCATCGTCAAGCCCACTCACGTCAAGATTCCACAGCCTCATCCTGTGAAAATGACACATAGGCACACACATGGAACTGGAGGATCTGGCAATCAGCTACGGGATGAGAGGAGTCTAGTATTGCGAAAATACGGCTGGAGATATAGCGCCAGGCGTGCGATGTATCCCGTGTGAGCGCGAGGAATTACTGGTGCTGAAGGTGTAGAGGCGCTGGAGTGCGATGGTGGTTGTGGACGCGTTTGAGGGTTTGTAGCGAGGGTTTAAATTAAGGCTGTTATAGAGCATGATGTGGGTTTGCAGAGTGGGAGTGGTTCCATATCAGCACTCCCACTTTCCACCTTCAAATCCTCTATCCCCATCGCGTTTTTCTCGAGTTGCCTTCGTAACCGCTCGTCCATGCAGCTCACGGCATTATACTTGGTCGCTATGATGTCGCCCAGCCACGCGGACAGCTACCGTGTATATCCCAGTCTATCATGCTGTTTCCGCATCATCGCAACGCCAATCTCGTGTTTTATCCCAGCGTCTTGTATTACGGCGTCCTAATCATCGCTGCCATCTTGTGCTGTCTCGCAATGCCACACCATATGCTGCATTGTCTCACTTATCCAGTTCAAACTGCGTCTTCAGAGCACATTGCTTGGCTAGTTTGCGGCCCTGCAGCTCCGCAGCTCCATCAGGCGTAAAACACAGGAACTCGAATGCAGCCGCCGACTCGAGATGCGTGGGGATAGTAGTAAGTACGTCAGGGCGTGGTTGTCAAGGCGTTGATAAGACCTCAACCGGATTTTCCACGTCCTGGTTTGCGATGTCGCTGTGATGAGAAATACGTTCTGAAACTGAATGAGGTGCATTGTGGAGTCTAAGACGACTCTGAAGGTTTGCATGACGGAGTTCTTTTTCGTGGTGGAATGGATAATGCTGGTTGGGATAGAGCCGAGTAGGTGGCTTTGTGGAGTAGCGGGATGGCACGGCTGTGTAGGGAGACTGGGTGTGTTGGTGGATATGGCGAGTGTGGGCTTACTCTTGCGGACTGGGTAGTGTAAGTGACTAAAAGGAAATGTCATTTCGTCTTGTTGAGCCGTGCCTTTTCTCGTCACTATATATATTCGTGAGACTCGCTTTGCACATTTACAATAAAAAACTATCAAAAGGTTTCAAAATAGAATCATCTCGTTTTAATCTCTACAGGTTCAAATGGTTGGCATTTCACACTGAGGTAACTGTTGAGTATGTCTACTGACATATCTCCTAGTAGCTGGTATTGTCAAGTTTCGTATCTCCTTCTCCTAGTTCTCTTCCTCCTACTTGCGAGTTAGACAGAAGAAGTCAGCAAAACCAATCCATCATCAAGTCAATTTATACAAGTGTCCTAACAGCATAATCATGCGTATACAAGATACAGGATACAAAACACTACAGCCTTCCTGACAGTAAAGCACACTGTAAATCATCTCAAATTATATAATGGTGCCACCACATAGAACCGTGTTGACTCTTTGATATATCTTGCTGTGAATAGTTTTGCCAGGCAAATTATATGTAATGCATAAGCACGTCAAGCTTTACATAGACTAGGTAGCTGTAATGGACTAGAGCAAGGAACTTTATTTGTATACAAAATCTCCATTGACTCTGTAGGTGATTAGACAGTATCGTGAAATTAGAGATTTGGTCATGCTTTGTTAGTTCGCTGAGCACTTGCTAGAAAATGCATAACAGCATAGGTAAAAGTGTCTTCTAGTGAGATGACCATCGTAGTGGGATTGAACATCATTAATTGATGGCTTCCTACATACAGCCTATTCGCTAGTCTACTCATACATGTCTGTCATCAAACACCAAGACACGTTACCAGCGAAGCATCATTCATATACCAAGTAGTATATGTTAAGCTACAGTGAGACCAGAGGTCTGTGTCCTGCGTGCCTGTGGGGAGACGGCACCGCGGCCTGGAGTTTAGAGTGAGGCTGTGTACATGATGTGGGGCAACGTCTGGGGTGCATACGCGCCCGGCCACTCCCGACGGTTTTGTGAAGCTTGTATTGGCGTTCACACCTTGTGTCGCAGGATGCAGTTGAGCGGCGAGGTTAACGGCCCGAGGCGTGAACAAAGCGCCAGTGTCGTATAAGTACAAGTCGATTATGCCGTAAAATGCGCTACTGCTGGGCGACATGACAGCACTCGGCATATGCAATATCCTATTCATAACACTGTTGCTATTTTGACCTTTGTGCTCTTTCTTGTGCTCTTCCTGCCTTCATACAGGCAGCACAGCAGTTATAAAGGCCTCCAGGCCGCGCTCAAACAGCTCGTTGGCGACTCCAATGCCGCCGGGGTGCTCGACGGGGGCCAGCGGGTTCTTGACGACATATTCAACGTAGAGGTTGGCCCAGATCTGATGCAGGTACTGGCGCAGGTTGATCACCTTGGTGTCGGTGAGCATGACGAATTTCATACGCGTCGGCGTCTCGTAGTAGTGGAGCTTGTATTCGCCGGTGCGGTAAGAGAGGAAGGTATCGTCGGCGCCGCCGAGCTTGGTGACAAAGTTGCGGAGCGAGAAGACGAGGCCAAAGACGAGCTTCTCGTCGTCCGAGTGCGACATGCCCTTGCGCACGGCGGCGACGACATCGCCGTTGCTTGCAACCGAGTTGCCAGACTGCGGGAGGGTGGCAGCCTTGGGCGCCGACGACGAGGATGAGGGGCGGGCAGGCGTCCAGCGGCGCGAGTAGATGCACTCGGCTGCGTTGTGCGGTCAGCGGCGTGCACGGCAGGCTTGTCAGGAGGCTCCGATCGCCCGTGTCATGGCGACTTACTGTGCCGATCGAAGATGTAGAAGCTGTACAGCACCATTGCGAGCGGCGGGGGCGTGGGCGTGTCGTCAGAGGGCCGTCGGTGGGTGCTGTGGCCGGGCGAGGCGGCGATGGCGATGCGCGGGAGACGGAATATCGACGACGGCGATGTTCGCGGACATGCACGGCGCGACAGGGACGGCAGCGGCAGCCAGCCAGCAGCAGGACAGGGCCACGGCGGTGGTGATGTTAAGGATAGTTCGTGGTGGTGGTGGTGGTGGTGGAGGAGCGGAGGCGTGCAGGCGTGGAGGGCGGGAGTGGTGACGTGGGAAGCGGGTCGCGGCTGCCCGTCGTGACAGCGGCTGAGGCTGAAAGAAGAAGAAGAAGGGCCTCTGGCAACAAACCAATATTACTAGCCCCTCTCTGATTCTGCTGCTGCTGCTGCTGCTGCTTCTCCTTCTGGACGAGCGCCTGTGCCCTCGCTCGCCCGGCTTCCCCCCTCCCTGCTTGGGCAACGGCCGCTGGAATGCTACCGACTATCGCCATCCTAGAAACTGCCTATCCATCCGAACACCGCTGCTAGTCGCCCGCCAGCTTCCCCATATTATTTCTCCCGACCACCTGCTGGCCCACCCCCCCTGGTGTCAATCCTGTCGCTCGCCTACTTAGAGACCGCCCGGCTCCTCGCCCTGCCAAGTCATGTCACACTCGCCCACGTCAAACTCGCTCTGGAAACGGCCCTCGGACTCCAGCCTCAAGCTCTACTCGTCCCAGCCCTCGCTCCAAGTCCCTGCTGTCTGCGACGCCGGCCGCCCCCCGCCAGTCAAGTACATGTGCGTGTTTGCCTCCCGAGATGCCATTGCTACCCCGCCGCGGTGCTGGTGCTGATGCTACCAAGGTCAACACCCGCCTACCAGAGCCCGTTACGCCACCACAAGCGCGCCGCCTCGTCGACGAGACGTGTCAAGGTGCGTCTTCTCCTTCTTCCCGGAGCCCCCGCAGCAGGCGAGGGCAGGCGCCCGAATCTGCTCAAGGGTCCTCCAGCACGTCATGCGGCACATGCAGGCATCGGCCCAGCTACGGGGAGCTACGCCGGCTAGCTTTTGGGGCCTCGATGCACGCCAGCAGCAGAGTCTAACGAGCCCGCAGGAAACGCTGAATGCGCGCTCCGAGTACAGCAACAGCGAAGATGACGGCAGCGCCCAACATCGCATCAACCAGTACCTGGTCAAGCAGGAGATTGGCCGCGGCTCGTTTGGAGCGGTCCACCTCGCCGTAGACCAGTATGGCCAAGAATATGTGAGGATACCAGCTCTCTAGACACCGCTGGACATGGGCAGAGAGGCGCATGCGCCTGGTACAACGATGCGGGTAACCTGGGCGGTACACGCAGTGGCTTTGGCTGACGACAAATTGCGCAGGCTGTCAAGGAGTTCTCCAAGTCGAGACTGCGAAAACGCGCACAGTCGAATCTCCTCCGCCGGCCGGCGGCGTCGAAGCGCATGCGTGCTCTGCCGGCTGGCATAGGCTTCAATTCCCCGCTCCACCGCCACTCGACAACCGAGGAGAACAATGCCTTTGAGCTCATCAAGGAGGAGATTGCCATTATGAAGAAGCTCAACCACCCCAACCTTGTCACGCTGATTGAAGTGCTCGACGACCCCGAAGAGGACTCGCTGTACATGGTCATGGAAATGTGCAAAAAGGGCGTTGTCATGCAAGTCGGCCTCGAGGAGCGCGCCGACCCGTACAGCGAAGAGCAGTGTCGGTGTTGGTTCAGAGACATGATCTTGGGTCTCGAGTACCGTACGTGTGGGCTTCCACGTGCCATAACCTAGTGCTGACTATTGCCAGTACACGCCCAGGGTATCATCCATCGAGATATCAAGCCTGACAACTGCCTGGTCACCGAGGAAGATGTTTTGAAAATCGTCGATTTCGGAGTCTCGGAAATGTTCGACAAGGAAGGCGAGATGAAGACTGCCAAGTCGGCTGGCTCGCCGGCTTTCATGCCGCCCGAGCTGTGCGTGGCCAAGCACGGTCAAGTCTCTGGAAGAGCTGCAGACATATGGTCGATGGGATGCACGCTATACTGTCTTTTGTTTGGAAGGATACCATTTGAGAAGCACGGCATGATTGAACTGTACCAGTCGATACGGCTAGACCCAATAGAGTTCGACACTGAATGCGGCGACGACCTCAAAGACCTGCTACTGAGACTGATGGAGAAGGATCCGCAGAAGCGAATAACCATGGAGCAGATCAGGGTGAGTTGGAACTGCCCATTGCTAAGCAGCAGGCTAACAAGGACAGGAACATCCATGGGTCACACGACAAGGAACTGACCCTTTACTGCCAAAGTCTGAGAACGTCGCCGTCATCATTGAGCCACCGACAGACGAGGAGGTCAATGCAGCTATCACGGGCAACATGGGCCATCTAGTCACAGTGGTAAGTCAGCATCATGTGATAGTAGCAGTGTATACTGACGCTTGCATAGGTGCGTGCTGTGAAGCGCTTCAAGCAACTATTATTTAGGCGACGGCCAGACCGCATAGAAAGTATACTAGGTAGTGCCTCGCGCATCGTTCAGCCTCCCCTATCTATGCGACCGTCGGCATTGCGCAAATCAAAATCACAAGACACACATGATCGCAGACCAGTCGAGGGCGCGCTTTCTGCCGAGGGCGTGCACCACCAAATCAAGGTTGACGACAAAGGACTCAGGCTGCCACATAACATGGATGACATGGCATACACCAAGTCTGGGAAGCGCCCTGGTAGGCTCACCGCATCTAACAGCCCGACTATACAGAGTCCTTCAAGTCTCGGGGAAGGTAGAATCACGCATGAAAACCTGTCGATCCGGCCTGGCCCTGTTCATTCCATTTCAACCCCCACAGGCACCATTGCCTCGGCATCATCGCCAACAACACCCATTGGTAAAGGACATGCGCATAACCCGCTAGAAGACACCCTTTTCCTCAATATCGGAACTGGCGAGAACTTTCAACCAGCGCCCGAGGACGGATGTGTCGTCTCCGAATCGCCCTCCAACGTCGACATCAATGTCTATGAAGCGGCTTACGAAGAAGAGGTGCAGCGTATTATTGCACAGCGTCGGGACCAGCACAACAACCGCCGGCCAACACTTTACCTCACGCGACGTGTCGAAAATGTCAAGTCGATTCGTGACAGCGACGCCATCTTTGATGAAGGCCAGGACCTGCGTCAGAACATCAAGGTCAGTCTCAAGAGCTTTGTTACCAAGACAAAAGAGGATATCGAGGCGCGAGGCGAGCTGCAGAAGATACAAGACGGCAAGGAAGGAAAGCTGAGCAGGACCATGCGTAACGTGAGAGAGGCTAAGAGACTTGTCGAGGAGGCACGAGAACGTGTCAAGACGGAAGAGCGAGAGCGAGAGAGGGAGAGGAGCAGGAGCGCAACGCCGCTTCCTCGGAACAATAGCTCTGCCAGTGCGCTCAGTCGGAGTGGCACACCTGTGCAGAGTTGAGCAGTGCCCGGGGATTACGTGTACCAACCCGGGCTTCTCTAGTGTTACACGGCACCTTGTACAGATAAAGGCCAGCATTTCGTACCATGTGTAACGGGCTGAACGCCCTTTAGATAGCTCCTCGATGGAATCTCGGTCAAGCAGCAGACGCCAGGTCTTACTCTGCAACCCGGCATCTGTGCGAGGCCTGAGCGGCGCCCAGACGACGCGCTCAGACACTCGGTGCAACCTTTCTCCGACAAGTAAATAAA